GGGCTGCCGCTGTCTCTATGGGACGCAGGGGCAGGGTGGCTGCAGTGCAGGAGGCTTGCTCACCAGAAGTCAGAGGAGAGGAGGAATAATTTTAATTCAGACAGTCCCGAGGTGGGGGCACCATCCCATGGGAACGCAGACGCTGCAGTTTTAGGGTTTGGAAGCAAACGGGTCTCCCTCAGCTCTGTCCCCGTGTCTGAGAGCGCTTCCCGAGATACAGTCCACGGTCATCAGATTCAAACAAATGCAGGTTAGTGTGGAAGTGGTGGCTGGTTTTTTTTCTGAGGAGCTTAGAATAGCCCCAGACTTCTTAGTCTGCACCCACGGGGATGAATGTGTTACTACTTGCTGTTCATGACAAAGTTGAATTCATCTTAACGTTGGTGTTGAGGGCTGCGTCAAAGTCAGGAATCTGCGGCCACTGCTGGCAGCCGGCGCAGGGAGCTCTCCCCGTGTCTGCTCTCTGTCCCTTGTCTTCGTCTGGCTCCTGAGATGGAAAAACATCCTGTTCCTCACTCGTGTGGTAGGCTGCTGGGGCTTTTCAGCTGTAGTAAATAGAACATTGTAGGGTGAGAGTAACCAAAAGAGGGAGGTGTTGGCAAGTAACAAACAGGCATCTCTTCTTGCTTTAAAATCACAAGTCTCAGCCTGTATAGATACATTAATAGCTTCAGTAGCACCCCAGGGGTGTGGGGCTTTTTTGTTTTGTTTTATGCTATGGACAAGGGTCAATGGCTTTGCTGAGACGGAGAGAGTTGAATATGGACTGCCTGGAGAAGAGGTGCAGGTCAAAAAAGGAACAGGGGAGGCTGAAGCAATGCAGTTGTATTTCTGTTTTCCTTTCCGAGATGCAGCGGTGGTGCTTGGAGCCCCGTCAGACCTCAGGAGCGGAGCCGGGGCGGGTTCCGCAGGGGTTGTGCTGCTCGTAATACCAGCCACGTCCCCAGAGCAGCTGCTCACTCTTGGCTGCAAACCTGGGGCTGAGCGTACATGCGTCTGAGCTAAGCCGTCCCACGGGGTTGGTTTGACTGAAGCCATTCAAAGGGGCTTTCCCCTTTGAAAAGTGGTAATTTTGTTACAGGGAAAATGAATGAGGTCTCTGGAGATGCCTAATTTATGACTTCCGCCTGGAGAGCTTTGTGCCGGCCGGGAGGCACGCTCCGGCGTTCCCCTTGGAAGCCCAGACCTCCCCTCCTGGGAGCTAAGCCGTCCCACGGGGTTGGTTTGACTGAAGCCATTCAAAGGGGCTTTCCCCTTTGAAAAGTGGTAATTTTGTTACAGGGAAAATGAATGAGGTCTCTGGAGATGCCTAATTTATGACTTCCGCCTGGAGAGCTTTGTGCCGGCCGGGAGGCACGCTCCGGCGTTCCCCTTGGAAGCCCAGACC